GGCCTGCTTCCTACTTAGCAGTTTTCCTTAAAAAAGGAAAATCACCTTTAAAAAATAGCTGCTATTACCTTGTTTAATTTCTGTTGTAGTTTCATATAACAAAATTAAAACTCTAGGCTGGCCCTGATGTTCTAGGGTAGCAGCCACAGGTAATGTAGAGATACTCAAACTTTTCTTCTTCTTTTTAATTGGACCCATTTGTGAGCTTACTCTGCCTTTTGGGACCTACTTGTGAAGTTACTCCACGCTGCTTCTCCACCCAAAGAGTAATAAACATGCAGAATTCACTGCCACAAGAAGCTGTAGCTGCTACAGGCATAGGTAGCTTCAGGAGGGGGTTGGATCAACATATGGAGCGGAGGTCCATCAGTGGCTATTAGCCACAAGGTATAGATGGAACACTCTGTCTGGGGCAAGTGATGCTCTGTATTCTTAGTGCTGGGGGGGCAACAGTGGGAGGACTTCTGGAGTTCTGGCCCCACTGGTGGACCTCCTGACGGCACCTGGTATTTGTGGCCACTGTGTGACCCAGAGTGTTGGACTGGATGGGCTATTGGCCTGATCCAGCATGGCTTCTGTTATTTTCTTACTTTTCCAGCTCCCCAGCATAAAATGCAAGCATCTCTTGGATAGTTTCAGAAGGGGAGTCATATTGGATCTGCCATAGAAAAACTAGATTTGAGTCCAGGAGGACCTTAGAAGAGACCTGCAAGGTTTTTTTTTTTGGGGGGGGGGGAATGGGGAGATAAGCTTTTGAGAGCCAAAGCTCCCTCTGTCATATGGGAGCTTCACCGGATGAAAGGAGCTTTGCTTGTCGAAAGCTTATGCCCGGGAAATCTTGTTGGTCTCTGAAGTGTCACTGGACTCTAATCTAGCTCATGTCACCTCAAGTGATTGCAAGCTGCCTTTTATATATTCAGGCACACACTTTCAAAAATGTTAGGCGTACACTTAAAAATGGAAGGTGTTGGACAATGCCCATTGTCTTGGTTGGAGAAGCAGGATTCTACATATAATGAAAGGACCAGGGGGCAGAGTGCATGTCCATTTAGTGGGAAGCTAAGATAAGGCTGAAATCTTCATTTGCTGGTACTAGTAGAGAACGAATGCTGATGGGCCAGTTGTCTTTAAAACATAAACTTAGCCAGGACAGATGGTTGCATTATATTTTTATCCCTCTTTCCTTCCAAGAGTTGAAGGTGGCATACATGGTTCTTCCCTCTTCATTGCATGTCACACCATCCTGTGAGTTAGATTGGGAGGAGACAGAGGGGGACCCAGTTCCCAGCCACCAGTGAGGTGGGCCTGGACGGACACTGGCTGCGCCCATTGGCTCCTGTACTACCAGAGGGCGGGAGCAAGCTTGAGCTCCTGATGGGTGGTACCTTGGCTTACCTGCTATGGCCTGGCTAGAAGTTACTTCTAACAATCATCAAAAGTCTGTAAGATTCAGGTGGGTAGCCGTGTTGGTCTGAAGCAACAGAACAAAGTTTGAGTCAGTGGCACCTTTGAGGCCAACAAGGTTTCATTCTGGGAATAAGCTTTTGTGTGCATGGACACTTAGTGCTGGAGAAGACTCTTGAGAGTCCCTTGGACTGCAAGAAGATCAAATCAGCCAATCCTAAAAGAAATCAACCCCGACTGTTCCCTGGAAGGCCAGATACTGAAACTGAAGCTCAAATACTTTGGCCACCAAATGAGAAGGGAGCACTCACTGGAGAAGACCCTGATGCTGGGAAAGATTGAAGGTCAAAGAAGACGGGGACGGCAAAGGATGAGATGGTTAGACAGTGTCATAGATGCAACGAACATGAAATTGAGCAAACTTCAGAGGACGGCGGAAGACAGGAAGGCCTGGCGGGATCTGGTCCATGGGGTCGCGAAGAGTCGGACTCGACTGTGCGACTGAACAACAACACTTCATCAGATACACTGACAGTGTATCCAATGAAGTGTGGAAGCTTATACCCAGAATGAAACTTTGTTGGTCTTACAGGTGCCACTGGACTCTTAACTTTCTTCAGAAGGCTGGTAAAGTCATTCACCTCTCCCCACCACAATAAAGTATCTGAACAGAATTCATCCCCAGTGGAGGAAAACAATTCATACAGAGTTTCTACCCAAAGTGCTGGATTAATAACCAATTTGCTCTATTTCTTTTTTTAGCCATGCATATAAGTTGCTTGGTTGGTAAGGAAGAGAGTTATGCAGTCAGTCCTGATTGTGCTGAAAAATATCAATGCCAGAATGTTTAATTTTCTTTCAGGTAATACACATGGGCCAGTTGACCATTTCCCCCTTCTGAATGGTATAGACGTAATATTTTTTGAGACGGTCGGTCTAGCTCTGCTAACCTCATAATTGTTTTAATTCATGGATGTAACTCTGCTTAATCCAAACTGAAGCACCTTGCTTTTTAAACACAAGTGAAGAATAAATGTTTCACTCTTTTGGTCTGGTTTAATTTCCCCTTTTTATAACATAATTAATCAAATCTTAACTGGTTGGAATTTTTTTTACACAATATTGTGGTGATGTGAGATACTAGTTTTACTTTTGTACACTCTCTTCAGAAAGGTCCTATCTGCATGCCGCTGTATAGCACCATCTGTATTCTGCTCCATTAGGCTAGCCTTGATTTGGGGGGTCAGGGGGAATATTTGGGGTATTTTGCTGTACACTGTACAGATCAGTGCTGAATACCAGATATTGGACTTCAGAAGTTATCAGGCTTCCTCCTGCTGTCCGGGAGACCGAATATTTTCACATCTTTGTTATCAAATAATGCTGAAAACTGTCTTTTTGAATGCATAGTGTATAAGTTGACCTATGGAATGAATGACCCCCAGTGTAGCTTTTGGGTAGGTACCCTTCTGTTAACTTGACAAGAGAAGATAGCTTGAGGGTTACTGTGCTTGGGTGTCTTCTGAAATCAAAGGTGATAAAACTGGATTGGGATTTTATCTTCTCACCGTCCTCCCACTCTGCCGAAGTGGTCCACAGTGGGCAGAAGTAGCCTTTCCTGTTAGTACAGCAGCCAGGTGTATGTACACATAGGGTTACAGGTTCCTGCATAAGCTGTGACTCCAAAAGTTCATCCCTAATTTGAGAACAGATCTCTTTTCATAGATGGCTTATGGTTGACATGTTCACACCTTGCTACTAAGTGCTTGAACCTCTGTGTGCTGAAACCTGTCCTGCTCCCAGTAAATACATACGTAGAAATAAGCCCTATGAATCGCAGTGGGGTTCACTGCCAAGAATGTAAGAATAAGAGAACTGATTCTGTTGCTGTCTGAGCAACCTCAGTCCTGTCCCTCGAGTTCCCACGACGAATCAGTGGGCCACCATCTTGATTCCATGCTGTAATCAATGGGCCACCGTCTCGATTCCGTGCAGTGGCCGTCTGTTTCTGTAGTGCTGTAGCCTTCTTGGACCATGGAGAGATGGCATTATACGTTCTCACCAGTGTCAGTGCTAGAGCCCACCGTTCCAAGCTGACAGTTTCAGAGCAACCAGCAGTGAATTGCATTTTTCTGCCTTTTGGGATGGTCGGTCTACCTCTGCTAACCTTGTAATTATTTAATTCATGGATGTAACTCTACTTACTCCAAACTGGAGCACCTGGCTTTTTAAACGCAAGTGAAGGATAAATGTTTTCACTCTTTTGTGTTCAAACCTTGCTACTAAATGCTTGAACCTCGGTGCGTTGAAACCTGCTTCTGCCTCACGCTTTGCTCCCAGGAAATACATATGTGGAAATCAGACCCATTAACTGCAGTGGGGTTCCCTGCCAAGAATGGAAGGATGAGAGAACTGATTCTGGGCACTGGCGAGCCCAGGCAGGAGGGCCCTCTTGGATTTTTGTGCAGATGCACCATAGTATCAGAACTTGGATTTTTGTGCAGATGCACCATAGTATCAGAACTTGGATTTTTGTGCAGATGCACCATAGTATCAGAACTTGGATTTTTGTGCAGATGCACCATAGTATCAGAACTTGTTAACCAGGGGTCGTTTCGTAGAAAAAGAGCTAGGGGAACTCATTAGCATAACTCATTAGCATATACCACATCCCCGGACATCACCGGAAGTGTGTCATAAGGCCACACACCCCGCCCCCAACGGTCCCAGCCGCCACCGCCGGCCTTGCAGCTCCACTGCCGAGCCCCATGAGGCGCCCGGCGGTGGACCTGCAAGGCTGGCGGGAGTGCAAGGAAGCCCCGCGAAGGCCCTCCCTGGCCCCAGGCAGGCAGGGGTGGGGAGAGGCAGGGAGGAAGCAACTTACCCTCCCTCTTCTCCTGCCTCCTCCTGGCTGAATGAGGGCCGGAAGCGGGGCGGCCGAAAGCAGGGGGTGGGGCTTCGTCATGTGCCCCGCCCCCCGTACCTCACCCGGGGGAACTGCGATCCCCCCCGAAATGACCTCTGTTGTTAACCATCGATACAGCTACCTGTTCCTGCCAGGAGTCTTATGGGATTGGCCATCGCTCTCCATTCCAAGGTTCTGGTGGAAGTCCAGTTTGACAGTCTGGAACTTAATGGAGTTACAGGAAGAGGCCCATAGTCACGATGCAATGTTCCGTACCTCGCAATCCATTTTGACTGCTACTGAGATTGTCTTTGGGTTTAACTCCATAGCAGGACACAAAATGATGCTTCCATCTGAATGTAGGCCCCAAAGGCTAGTCCTGTTCCCAGGTGTTTGGGGAGGGGGGGGATTGTTTCCAGTTCAACTTTGACGTATTCTCATAACTCAAAATGAGTGTGCGGTGACTTGCTTTGTTGTCTGAATACTATCAGTTTTCCCGTTTGATCCTTTATAGTTCTGTCGTGGGGCTCGCTTAGGTGTAAAGATCTGTTTTCCCCATCCTTGCCAGCTCTGGGATGCACGTGGAAGAGAAAAATATTTGCAGCAGCCCCTAGCTTCCTTAAATTGTGGGGGTATGAGTCTTTTTGTCGGTTCTCCAAAAGCAGTAACTTGACCCTTCTCTTCCCGACAGGTGGTAGGCAAGAAAGGAGAGAGCCACTAGATCACAAGGAAGAAAACACTGGAAGGCCTTACTGCAATCAACGCGAGATCATCACGTGTATCTCAGACTCCCGGGAAGCCGCTCGACCCCCCAACACAAGAGAGACTCTCCGTCTGTTCCATTTTAATACCATTACAAATAAAAATTGCTGCATTTTTTTTTTTTTGTTAGTACGGGATTTCACTCAAGTGTTTACTGTTGTAATCTTGGGACGTGGATTTGTAAATAAAATTCATTAATTTTGCCAAGCTGCACAGTGGACAATTCGGCTTTTCCTGAGCTGAAGATCACTTCAGGAGGTTGGAGCCGGGACTCGTCGCTTGTTCTTGGGTTTTATCTTTTCCACCCCCTTGCTGAAGATTTCTAAACATCCTTAATGTTCTATAAGTGTCTGGTTTAGAGGAGGATCGTACTAAGCGATAAGGACATAAGAACATAAGAGATGCCAATGTTGGCTCAGGCCAAAGGCTCATCCAGTCCAACACTCTGTATCACACAGTGGCCAGAAATACCAGTGCCATCAGGAGGTCCACCAGTGGGGCCAGGACACTAGAAGCCCTCCCACTGTTGACCCCCCACCCCCCAAGCACCAAGATGACAGAGCATCACTTGCCCCAGAGTCCCTATCTATACCTTGTGGCTAATAGCCACTGATGGACCTCTGCTCCATATGCTTATCTGATTCCCACTTGAAGCCGTCCATGCTTGTAGCCGCCACCACTTCCTGTGGCAGTGAATACCAAGTGTTAATCACTCTTTGGGTGAAGAAGTACTTCCTCTTATCCGTTCTAACCCGACCGCTCAGCAATTTCATAGAGTGCCCACGAGTTCTTGTATTGTGAGAAAGGGAGAAAAGTACCTCTTTCTCTACCTGCTCTTTCCCGTGCATAATCTTATAAACCTCAATCATGTCTCCCCTCAGTCGTCGTTTCTCCAAGCTAAAGAGCCCTAAGCGCCTTAACCTTTCCTTATAGGGAAAGTGTTCCAACCCTTTTATCATTCGAGTTGCCCTTTTCTGCACTTTTCCCAAAGCTATAATATCCTTTTTAAGGTGTGGTGACCAGAACTGCACACAGTATTCCAAATGAGGTCGCACCATTGATTTATATAGGGGCATTATGATATTGGCTGATCTGTTTTCAATACCCTTCCTATTCTAAGCTGTACCGAGGTATTTTAAAGGAAATAGTTTGCCTTTTGACAACCCCGGCTTCTGCCTGTGTGTCATAAGGCTCCGATTTGCAGCCGGTTTTGCTAGAGTAGCCCTCTTTAACGGGGGTGTGGGAGTCAGGATACTCCAGGCCCACATGTGCTAGTGCACTGTCAAGGTCCACAGATCCCTATTGCACATTTTTTTGCCTTCGGGAATGACCACTGGAGGGACCAAAGACATCGCTGGGGAAACTCAGGCTTAAAGGTGGCTTGTTGCTGACCCCCTCTTGTGCAGGCTTCATGTTGGTTTTGCTCGAGTGCTTATATTGCACCCAGTGTTCCTTCTAAGCTGAGTTAGTGTGAGCTTGCTCAGGGTTTTTTTTTAACCTCCGGCTCACACATTTTTGCCTTCGCCCAGGAAGGAGGGCTCCAGAGCAAACTAATTTATGCCGTAGCCAAATCGCTCGCTCACCACTTTAATGCCGATAGCTCACAAAGTCGAATTTTTGCTCACAGGACTCTGTTGCTTAGAGGGAGCATTGACTGCACCATGCCCAGCAAAAGGAGCTGCTGGTTTTCCAGTGTATGGACCGATCCGAAAAGTGATCTTGCTGCTCCTGCTGCAGCAACATTTTAAGCCTGCCTGCGTGGGGCAGAATTGACCGACTGTCCTCTTTGTCTCAGAAGTCTGCTATCCTCTGCCTTTAATAATACAGAATTACATCTGTATGGACTATTGAAAGCTGGCGGTTAAAATTGTGTGTGGTGGTGGTGGAGGCAGTCCACTTCGCCTTTCCAGTTCATCCACCTGAAGCCGCCTTCTACTGAATGAGACCATCCGTCCGTCAGATGCAGTCTTGTCCACTGTGACTGGCGGCAGCAACCCTCCAGCGTCTCAAGCAGAGGTCTTTCCCCATCACCTCCTGCCTGGTCCTTTTAACTGGAGACGACAAGGATTGAACTGGGACCTTCTGCATGCCAAGCAGAAGCTCTGCCACTCAGCCAAGTCCCCTTCCTAGAAGGGCCCTCCAGGGTCTCAGGCAGAGGTCTTTCCCATCACCTACTGGAGACGACAAGGATTGAACCTGGGACCTTCTGCATGCCGAGCAGAAGCTCTGCCACTGAGCCACAGCCCCTCCCATAATACTACTGCAACAGGGGCAAGGAGACTTACTAGCTTCTTGGATGCCCAGTTGGGCCAAACCTTTGCACTCTGGCAGTGTTGAGCCAGAATGTAACATCTGAATAGCTGTCTTCAAAATGTTCTCTGATGGGGATACTTCATTTGGAGCCAGTTTGGTGCAGTGGTTAAGTGCGCGGACTCTATTCTGGGAGAACTGGGTTTGATTCCCCACTCCTCCACTTGCAGCTGCTGGATGACCTTGGGCAAGCCATAGTTCATTTGCCTCCTGTCCTTGAAAGAGCAGTTCTTGAAAGAGCTCCCTCAGCCCCACCTACCTCACAGGGTGTCTGTTGTGTTGAGGAGAAGGGAAAGGAGTTTGTAAGCAGCTCTGAGACTCCGAGTGAAGGGCAGGGTATAAATCCAATCTTTTCTTCATTATGGCCAGCACTTGGCCAGCGCATGCCTGCTTTGGTTTGAATTTCCTGCTACACTTCTTTCAGCTGTGCTGCAAATACTTATCCAGATGCCAACATGATAGGCCATGGAACTACGTTTTGCAGAACATTTTCTCATACTTACCTGCTGCATGGTGTTGTGGTAAAGGCAAAACAGCTCTAATGTGGATAGCCCAGGCTAGTTTGGTCTTGTCAGACCTTGGAAGCTAAGCAGGGGCAGCTCTGGTTCATACTTGGATGGGAGACCACCGAGGAAGTCCAGGGCTGCTGTGTATTGGCAGGCGATGGCAAACCACCTCTGTTTGTCTCTTGCTTTGAAAACCTTATAGGGGTCACCATAAGTCAAGCGGTGACTTGAGAGCAAAAAAAATTGAAAGAGCGCATGTCATGATACAGGATACTGAATCCTTTTGGATTTTAGTATTGTCCAAAGTGCCTAACTTTGCAGAGGTACTTTTCTAATCTGCACCCCCTTCCCTTTCTTTCCCCAGATTTCAGCTCAGTGGGAGAGGGGAAAACTGTCATTGGCAGATATTTCTGATATCTGCCTGTTTGGAGCCCCTTTTCTTTTTCACATTTGTGGCTAAACTTTTAATGGCATTATATTATCTCCGTGGGAGGTTTTCTACCGAAATGTTTAAGGCAGATAGTTATCTTTTATCGAGGGACGAGTGTCTAGGCTCAATTGCTTTAAGCCTTTTTCTGTAAATCTCCTTGGCAAAGAGCCCTCTTCCAGAATTTTCCCCCTAAGTCGTACGCTGACCAGCGCCATGTCCGTATGTGGCTGCTTTTCTAATTCGCAGTCAGTTTCTAACAAAGACATTTTAATTGGAATAATTACTTTGTTGACTTAAATTTTGTTGCGTTTCTAAGTACAATAAATCCCAACAAAAAATTTAAATCCTAGCCTCATTAGCATTCTGGGTTCTTTTGTTAAATGCCGCAGGCAATTTTTTGCCACGTCTTGGCAGATATAAGCATTATAACTCAGCTAAATTCTCGCGCACAAAGAGTTGGACGCAGTCCATGAGAAATATCTCCTGTGGAAGCCGCCTTGGAAAATTGAAGTGAGTTAGCAAAGGAAACGAGCTGGTTCTTTGGCCAAGCCACCGCTTAGGGCAATGCCATAAGCAGGGAGCTGATGTTCTGCCTTTCCTCGACTGCCTTCCAACTATCGACAGCAACAGGTATTTGCCTCTTGGACCTGTACTTCCTGCCAGCGCCAAGTAGGGAGCCATGTGCTGTCGTCACTGGTTCGACTAGGAGTCAGCGGTCATAAGAGGCAATAGTAAAGGTAAAAGGTTTCCCTTGCTCGAAAGCCAGTCGAATCCGACGCTAGGGTGCGGTGCTCATCTCCGTTTCGAAGCCAAAGAGACAGCGCTGTCCGAAGACATTTCCATGGTCATATGGCTGGCACGGAATGCTGTTACCTTCCCACTGAAGCAGTACCTATTTATCTACTTGCAAATTCTTGCTTTTGAACTCCTAGGTTGGCAGGAGCGGGGACCAGAGACAGGAGCTCACTCCGTCATGCGGCATTGGGGTCTCGAACTGCTGAACGACTGACCTTCCGGTCTGCAGTTCAGTAAACCATTTGAGCCACCGCAGCCCCTTTTATAAGAGGCAACGGGTCCCCCTTATTTGGGAATGACCATACACCTTGAGCCAGCCTTTCCATGGAGAGGTGGGAGGACAACTTCAGCGGGCTTGAAATGATTGGGCTTACGGTAGATCTGGACAGCCTATGCTAGCCCAATCCCTTCCGTTCTGGAAGCTAAGCAGGGCCGGCCCTAGTTAAAATTTAGATGGGAGGCGATCATGGAACTCCACAGTTGCTGTGCAGAGGCAGGCAATGGCAAACACCACTGTTCACCTCTTGCCTTGAAAACGCTATGGGGGCACCATAAGTCATCTGTGACTTGATGGAATGTTCCTCCACCAACTTCAGGGAGATACTCCCAATGGGATGGGCCTCCAGTCTTGCGTGATGCACTCCATTCATCTCAACTGGCAAATCCAAGTGTCTAATATACCCTCACAAGGAATGTGTCCTTCCCCCTTGACTAGCACAGAGGAAAACCCACCTGGGAGCAGAGAAAGGTGTCGGGTTGTCCCCAAAGATGGTCTGGATGGCTGGAAGGGAGGAGGTTCCGGCCTTGGAGTAGAAGGCCAAGGAAGCTATGGGGAGCCAGCAAACAATAGCCAGGTGGCAAAGAATTGGGGCAGGTAGTAAGGTAAGAAGCAAGAGAGGAGGAAGGGTGGGAGGGGCAAGGTTCAAAGAGGGGAAAGTACAAAGGGAGAGATAAAGTTGTACCCTGCCTGTCCTGTAGACGTGATCCTCATTGCATGTCAGTAGCAGAAGGTCTGTGGATGGAGACAAACTCAAAAGAGGAAGAGCTGGGGAGGGTAGGCTTCTGATAACCTCTTTTTCTTAACATAACATAAGAGACGCCAATGTTGGATCAGGCCAAAGGCCCATCTAGTCCAACACTCTG